TGACATGGATTTGATTGAGTTTGGAAGTACGGGTTGATCCACTTTCCAAACAGGATCGTCACTAAGGACAGATCCCAAAAGGATTAAGACAATTATTTCTGATAACAAAAGTGTAACTAAAATGACTAATTCGTGCAGTCATTCATCCCATCATGCACTCTGGCGCAGAACTGAGCCCATCCTTCCATTTCTGCCAATTTGGCCACAAATATTTTGTTTGGGATAAATTTCCCCCTGAGCTGATACTGGATCTTTGGGAGCATGACCAGTCGGTACCGTTGGACGCCAGCGAACATGACTCATCAAGCATAAGACACTTCCTCGGCTTACTCCTTTCACAGACAATTGCCACATTGGCTGTACACACTCAGTTCTTCTTCTCAGACTCATCAGGTATCCCCAGACTCCAAAAGTCTGTGCGTTTGAGGTTTCAGCATCAACTTCCAGTCATAGTAACTCGTGTACTGTTCTTTCTTCTCAGCTACCGAGCCCCATCTTGCACTACAGCGACATCATCTTGCTATGCCGCTGGTCCATTCGTCCAGTCAGGCCACATCGAAAGCTGACATTCTGAACAATTTTGGAATTTATATTTAATTTTCTCTGGGACTTCGACTTCTGCAGCGGTTTGATTTAAGGTGATCTCGAATATTCCCTCGATCGACACGGCTCCTCTTTGCGCCAAACCGAAACACTCAAACCCACCACAGCAAGTCAGACACGAAGCAGTAATTGAGTCATCATTTTGATAATGAGATTTGTTGTTGAAAGAGTCATTTGAACAAAATAGAGCATTCTGTTTATTTTACAGATTTCTTTCAGGTTTTAATGTACGGCAATAGATTTTGATATTTTTCACATAAAATATCTTATATTAACTGAACATATTTCGACACTATCCACTTAGCCAGCCATGGTCATCTAATTTGATGCCTTGAATTTCTCCATACAACAGCAGCAACTGCTACTAGCTCTACTACAACTACAACACCAACAACCACTAATATTACAAACACTACTCATACTACTACAACAGTTGATAATACTATTATTAATGCTACTACTATTACTACTTATAGTGCTGAGGTGTACTCAGTTTACGTAAAATAAGGCTGTTGATCTTAATATAAAGAAAAGCTTGGTTTCAAAGATTTCATTACAGCTTTATTGCTAAATGACTTTATATTTCGAAAGAAAAGATGAGTGAAGAGAATTCGTGAACTGGTCAAACCAGAACTCAAGGAATAATTGCCGCGGAATGAAGACGGTTGAATTGTGCAAAGAAGTCCTCGGCTCACCATCCTGCGACACCGATGAACTTGTGCTAAGCTTTCATTTGTACCATCTTGGCCGACATCTTTGGAGCGAGAAACCACATTTACGAAAACACACACCAAATACATTAAACCAAGAAAATAAGGGCTGCTCCAAACAATCACACTTACTTTTTTACATCTTACTGTGAGATCCTAATGAGGCATCACATGACATACATTCTTGTAGATGAGGGAGTTTGTCTAAATAATCTAACGTATAATCCTGCAGCATTTTGCGTATGTGGTATTGCGTATTGCGTGTATTCAGGTCCAAGACATCTAAAGTGCGAGATTCCTACTCAGACTCAAAGCTATTCAGGCCTCCTTCTTTTAATCATCGGTTCTTATCATCCTCTTCTTCCTCTCTCTCCAACAGTCACAAATATTTCATACTTAATTTCCGATTATTTATTCCTCTGCTTCAGTATTTTGGCTGTTTCGTCTATTTCTATAGACCACCGAATCTTACACTTGGTCGTGATATCACCATATCCTGCAAACTCTGTATTCTGTATCATTCTATTTTATGCCCTGTATTAACAGTATGCTCGGCTAGCTCACAGTTTTCTACCAATACACTTTTACAGGCGGCTTTGTGTTCGAAGCAACGCTCGCCGGAATGGGTCGTCTAGACCACCAAATGCTTATGGCCTGCCTAAGATTTATAAGGAAGTTGCCCTAATTATGATTAACATAATTAATAAAGTTTCAGTTATGCATAAAACGTGGCATTTTGTTTGTACACAATTAAAGAAAGTCTATGATTGTGGAAGTTTTCAATAATGAATTACTATGAACAATTTATAGGAAGTAGTCATTAGCTTGTAAGTTTCTACGTAGTGTCTATGAGCCCTAATATCTCAATAATCCGGGCTGCAAAAGCTTTGGAGTAAACGTTAAATCAGCATCCGGAAATCTGATCAGATAAAAAGCAAGGCAAAGCCTCAATCCCTCGATTGACTAGTTTGTTTATGAATAGTACATATTGTATCCTTAATTGTAAGTTGCATGAGCAAATACGAGCTTTCACTATGAAATGGTGTTTAGCTCCAATTTTGGCTAATAACTACATGGCTCAAATAGAGGATCGTCTAATTGAAGATATGAAGACCAAGATGGTGTGGTCGCAGTCTCCTTTCTAGTTATATGAGTGGGTTGCCCTCGCTGTCTTAACTTGGTCCTGTTGTCAGGGCAACTTAGTTAAACACACCCAGTCCTAAGTCGTTTGGCTTATTAGTTGTCATAATTCCCAGCATCAGACAGTGGGCTTGGTCCGTTTTACTAATTCGCCCTGACAACAAGACCAAGTTGCGACAACGAGGTCAACCCACTTCTATAGAGGATCGTTTACGCTCAAAAAGCCCTCTGAATTCCCAAGCCACTAGTTAAATATGTTAACGACCACTTTGCAATTTGGCAACAAGGAGAAGACAAATTTGATGATATTCTGGAGATAATGAATAAGCTAGATGTGATAAAAATAGTTACGATGTAGTTAGAAAAGTAGGATTATTAACTTTTCTGGATGTATTGGTAGGTAAAAACGGTACTAAGTTTGGCAGAGACGTGTTTAAGAAGCCCACACATGCAGGATTAATGTTTGATTTCTACGCATTTTGATTCTACACAAATGTATTAACTGTGAATGGGAGCAAGGTAGGCATTATGAAATCGATAATATTAAGGAGATTGCGTCATGCGGAACCAAGTGATTGGCTTGACTGAAAATGATTATCCCAAGTGATTGATTGTGAATTATCTCTCATTAATCATAAATAGAATGCAGGATAATATTTATGTCGATCAG